ATAAAACCTATACTTTATAGTGTGAAAATATCACTAATAAAACCTATACTTTATAGTGTGAAAATATCACTTATAAAACCTATACTTTATAGTGTGAAAATATCACTTATAAAACCTATACTTTATATTATCAGAACTACAATGTAGTATTGTTTCATGTCTTTCAGTCAGAAATTGTTTTACAATCTTTACTTTGTTACGCCGGAACGAGATATAAAACCTTTATAGAATCTGAGTGAAACAGTCCTACTTTATAGAACCAGTTATAGTGATACAGTCCTAATTTATAGAATCTGAGTGATACAGTCCTACTTTATAGAACCAGATATAGTGATACAGTCCTACTTTATAGAACCAGATATAGTGATACAGTCCTACTTTATAGAACCAGATATAGTGATACAGTCCTACTTTATAGAACCAGATATAGTGATACAGTCCTACTTTATAGAACCAGATATAGTGATAAAGTCCTACTTTATAGAAAGTCCAACTTGATAGAACCAGATATAGTGATACAGTCCTGCTTTATAGAACCAGATATAGTAATACAGTCCTACTTTATAGAACCAGATATAGTGATAAAGTCCTACTTTATAGAACCAGATATAGTGATACAGTCTTACTTTATAGAACCAGATATAGTGATACAGTCGTACTTTATAGACCCAGATATAGTGATACAGTCCTACATTATAGAATCTGAGTGAAACAGTCCTGCTTTATAGAACCAGATATAGTGATACAGTCCTACTTTATAGACCAAGATATAGTGATACAGTCCTACTTTATAGAATCTGAGTGAAACAGTCCTACTTTATAGAACCAGTTATAGTGATACAGTCCTACTTGATAGAACCAGATATAGTGATAAAGTCCTACTTGATAGAACCAGATATAGGGATACAGTCCTACTTGATAGAACCAGATATAGTGATACCGTCCTACTTTATAAAACCATTTATAGTGATACAGCCCTACTTTATAGGATCTGAGTGATACAGTCCTCCTTTATAAAACCATTTATAGTGATACAGCCCTACTTTATAGAATCTGAGTGATACAGTCCTACTTTATAAAACCAGATATAGTGATACAGTCCCACTTTATAGAACCAGATATAGTGATAAAGTCCTACTTGATAGAACCAGATATAGTGATACAGTCCTACTTTATAAAACCATTTATAGTGATACAGCCCTACTTTATAGGATCTGAGTGATACAGTCCTACTTTATAGAACCAGATATAGTGATACAATCCTACTTCATAGAACCAGTTATAGTGATACAGTCCTTTCTTGGATAGATTCAGATATAATGATGCAAAGGATATATGCAAATACCCCCCCCCCCCACCCCACCCCACCCCACCCTAGTCGCTGCACCTTCCCATGATAAGGGATTGAGTACCTCAACGACTTGGCTAGTTATGCTTGTTTGGGCTTTTTGCTCCTGGCAGGGTCACCCAAACCAGACAGGTTGGAAGGTTGAGGTTAGACCAAGCAGCACCGTCCTTTGTCCGGGACTCAAATGTTAGATTTGCACCGTTGTGCTTTCTTTCCTGGGGGTTTGGTATACAAATTTGTAAATCCTCAGAGTCCCATGTATATACTGAAATTGTCAAATCCTATTAAATAGCACATTTTGCCACAAGATGTGCGAGTGAAACACATATTTCACACCAGTTTCATTCGTTTGCAGAAAAACACATTCCAGTTGGTGCTAGCGACAAACGAGGAGGAATCCTTTGCGTTTTATTTGTACAAAAAACTCCAGTGGACAACAGGTTCCAACAGCCGTGGCAACTCTTCCACGGGGCTCGGAGGCAACCCAGCTCAGGTAACGGGCTAGTTATATGAGAACGGGATGCTATTTGTTAAAAGCTATGGTTCGATCGCCAGAAGCACATTGTTGTGATAAATTTGGTTTACAAATGTCTAAAAACTTTCGAAATGGAACTACAGTGTGAATGCTATCGTAGGACTTGGGCGGGAAAATAGTTTTACAACTCCGTCAGTCTTCATTCAGCTGTACTATTAACGCATTTTTCAAATTTTAATTGAACATGGAAATTCTTTAATTGCAGATTGGTGTTATTATTTCCAACTATTAATCTATTTTTGTGTAGGTGGGTTTTAACTCTGAGGACGGAGTAAGCTACTTAAGTGTAGACGGAGCTCAGACCGACGCTGTCATCAACCTCACTAGAACCAGTAACGTGGATGTGCCGGGCACGTGGATCTTTGGTGTGTCTGGCACCGAGATAAGGGATGTCCAGTGCAGCCACGATGGTAAGTACACTCCTGGTAAAAGTCTAGTAACCTTTAGTACACTCCAGGTAGACGTTCTAGTAACAGTTAGTACACTCCTGGTAGACGTACTAGTAACAGTTAGAGCACTCCAGGTAGACGTTCTAGTAACCGTAAGTACACTCCTGGTAGACGTTGTAGTAACAGTTAGTACACTCCTGGTAGAAGTCTAGTAACTGTTACTACACTCCAGGTAGACGTTCTAGTAACCGTTAGTACCCTCCAGGTAGACGTTCTAGTAACAGTTAGTACCCTCCTGGTAGACGTTCTAGTAACAGTTAGTACACTCCTGGTAGACGTACTAGTAACAGTTAGAGCACTCCAGGTAGACGTTCTAGTAACCGTAAGTACACTCCTGGTAGACGTTGTAGTAACAGTTAGTACACTCCTGGTAGAAGTCTAGTAACTGTTAGTACACTCCAGGAAGACGTTCTAGTAACCGTTAGTACACTCCAGGTAGACGTTCTATTAACAGTTAGTACACTCCTGGTAGACGTTCTAGTAACAGTTAGTACACTCCTGGTAGAAGTCTAGTAACTGTTAGTACACTCCAGGTAGACGTTCTAGTAACCGTTAGTACACTCCTGGTAGACGTTCTAGTAACAGTTAGTACACTCCTGGTAGATGTTCTAGTAACCGTTAGTACACTCCAGGTAGACGTGCTAGTAACCGTTAGTACACTCCGGGTAGACGTTCTAGTAACCGTTAGTACACTCCAGGTAGACGTTCTATTAACAGTTAGTACACTCCTGGTAGACGTTCTAGTAACAGTTAGTACACTCCTGGTAGATGTTCTAGGAACCGTTAGTACACTCCAGGTAGACGTGCTAGAAACCGTTAGTACACTCCAGGTAGACGATCTAGTAACAGTTAGTACACTCCTGGTAGACGTTCTAGTAACCATTAGTACACTCCTGGTAGACGTGCTAGTAACAGTTTGTACACTCCAGGTAGACGTGCTAGTAACCGTTAGTACACTCCAGGTAGACGTGCTAGTAACAGTTAGTACACTCTTGGTAGACGTTCTAGTAACAGTTAGTACACTCCTGGTAGATGTTCTAGGAACCGTTAGTACACTCCAGGTAGACGTTCTGGTAACCGTTAGTACACTCCAGGTAGTCGTTCTAGTAACCTTTAGTACACTCCAGGTAGTCGTTCTAGTAACCTTTAGTACACTCCAGGTAGTCGTTCTAGTAACAGTTAATACACTCCAGGTAGACGTTCTAGTAACAGTTAGTACCCTCCTGGTAGACGTTCTAGTAACAGTTAGTACACTCCTGGTACATGTTCTAGGAACCGTTAGTACACTCCAGGTAGACGTGCTAGTAACAGTTAGTACACTCCTGGTACATGTTCTAGGAACCGTTAGTACACTCCAGGTAGAAGTTCTAGTAACAGTTAGTACACTCCTGGTAGATGTTCTAGGAACCGTTAGTACACTCCAGGTAGAAGTTCTAGTAACAGTTAGTACACTCCTGGTACATGTTCTAGGAACCGTTAGTACACTCCAGGTAGACGTGCTGGTAACCGTTAGTACACTCCAGGTAGTCGTGCTAGTAACCGTTAGTACACTCCAGGTAGTCGTTCTAGTAACAGTTAATACACTCCAGGTAGACGTTCTAGTAACAGTTAGTACCCTCCTGGTAGACGTTCTAGTAACAGTTAGTACACTCCAGGTAGTCGTTCTAGTAACCGTTAGTACACTCCAGGTAGACGATCTAGTAACCGTCAGTACACCACATAACGGAGTGCACATTTGATGACAACGTACACTACAAGTATGCTCATACATGTACCATTATATTTTTATATAGCAATATTCCACCTTCAACAGAGTGACGACATTGTTCTGTGTCGTTTGATAACATGACAAGAATGATTATATAGTGTAATATGTATTTTCTTTTTATTTCTTCAGTGCAAATTCAAATTGTTCCAACTAACGGAAATATGTTGGGAGGCGAAGAATTCAGAGTCACCGGACCGTGTTTCCAGTCGGATTATAACGTTACAGCACGCATTGTGCAAACGAACTCAACATTTCAGTGTGCAGTCATTAACTTTTTGTCAGCTAAGTGTGTGCTGCCACCTATATTCAAAACAGGGGAGGTGACCCTGGAATTAAATCCGTACGGGATCAGCTGGAATTACTCTACAGTTCTTCAAATAAGTAAGTAAAAAAAACCATTAACCGATAACACTATTACGTCATCAGGAGACCTCAACTCCAACTCTGCATTATTCATCTTTGTAACTGATAGAAATACATCATGCACAATGACATGTTTTGAAAAAATTCAGATTGTGTAGGGTTTGGAAAGGGTTACATGAACGATTGATGTTATCATGTTATCCAAATCCGGTTTGCTAATTTAAAAATGATCAAAATACGCGTTGTCAAACAGCACATCTTCATTTCAGAAAAATGACGCCATAGTGTGACGTAGAAAAACCTTAGTGGGGTTGTAGTTTTTGTGCGGTCAAAGTTCTTGCCCTGTTCTTTAAGCAATTGAGATGTTCCTTACGTGTAATGCTCACTCGGTTATGGTTTCTACAGACATCTGTTTATCCCATGCCTTAGGATTTAGGAAAGCTGCAATAGTTATGGTTAACTGGAACAGGATAAATTGCAATTGTTTATAATTGAATATGCAAAGTCCCAGTTTCAAGTCGTATACAGAACATTACTTTAACTTGCAATAACATTAAATGGCAAAATGTCAGTAACGTTTTCACTCAGACTTATGTTATACAATGAAGTTACCACTGGAATGTATACTAATGTATTCTGTTTAGTTAAATGTAAGAAAAGGGCGTTTATAATGTTCTTCAAACTTTTGCCCAATCCTTTGGCTTATATATGGCAATAAGAGATGTTTAAATTAAACTGTGTGCTGGCCTTACGGTAATTACAATATGGTAAACAGTCAGCTATGTTATGTAATCTTCACTGAATACTGCTGTAATCTTCCGTGAATACTGCTGTTATATATCGTGAAAACTGCTATAATCAACAGTGAATACTGCTGTAATCTACAGTGAATACTGCTAAAATTTATACCGTGAATACTGATGTAATCTACCATGAATACTGCTATCATCTACCGTGACTACTGCTATAATCTACCGTGACTACTGCTGTAATCTACCGTGAATACTGCTATAATCTTCCGTGAACACTGCTATAATCTACCGTGAATATTGCTATCATCTACCGTGAATACTGCTTTAATCTACATTGAATACTGCTGTAATCTACCGTGATAACTGCTGTAATCAACAGTGAATAATGCCATCATCTACTTTGAATACTGCTATAATCTACCGTGGATACTGCTGTAATCTATACCGTGAATACTGTGGTAATCTACCGTGAATAATTCTGTAATCTACCTTGAATACTGCTATACTCTACCGTGAATACTGCTATAATCTACCTTGAATACTGCTATAATCTACCGTGAATACTGCTATCATCTACTGTGAATACTGCTATAATCTTCCGTGAATACTGCTGCAATCTACCGTAAATACTGCAAAATCTACCGTGAATACTGCAAAATCTACCGTGAATACTGCTATAATCTATACCGTGAATACTGTGGTAATCTACCGTGAATAATTCTGTAATCTACCTTGAATACTGCTATACTCTACCGTGAATACTGCTATAATCTACCTTGAATACTGCTATAATCTACCGTGAATACTGCTATCATCTACTGTGAATACTGCTATAATCTTCCGTGAATACTGCTGCAATCTACCGTAAATACTGCAAAATCTACCGTGAATACTGCAAAATCTACCGTGAATACTGCTATAATCTATACCGTGAATACTGCTAAAATCTACCGTGAATAATTCTGTAATCTACCTTGAATACTGCTATATTCTACCGTGAATACTGCTATAATCTACCGTGAATACCGCTATAATCTACCGTGAATACTGCTGCAATCTACCGTAAATACTGCAAAATCTACCGTGAATACTGCAAAATCTACCGTGAATATTGCTATAATCTTCCGTGAATATTGCTGCAATCCATCGTAAATACTGCAAGATCTACCGTGAATACTGTTATAATCTATACTGTGAATACTGCTAAAATCTACTGGTCTGTACATGGTCAAGATCACGGATCAACGGTAGGTCAACAGTCAGTGTCGAATGTGTGAATTTGCATTATAAGATTATGAAGATGATATTATTTGGATATATCGCAAGTATTCCTTGTTTAGAGTGTCGAAAATATACACATTACGTAGATGACAAGTAGCCCTATGAGTAAGGTAAAAATCATCTGGTGAAAGCTCACATTCTTTAAAGTAAATATAATATCTCCTAAATGAATACTATCATTAAGCAGTATTATAGACGTGGCTCCTTGATGAAGGTCAAAGTCAAAAGGGTCATAATCATGTTAAACAGCGTGTCGTCAAATTCTCGTGCAATATTGCAGGACTTTACATCAAGTAGCGAGTGATGCAAGGTCAAGTTCCACCAGTTCGTAAATTCGAACTAGGTCATGTTAACCCTGCATGTCCACTTTCACTAATTACTGACAAAACTCGTGTTCAACCATCCCCGCAACCGTGATTTCTCACATAACATGTGTCACTCTGTGTAAAAGATTTTCAAGTTTCATATCACATCGGGTTTTTTTCAGATAACGTAGCGTCGATGGCGCCAAAAGTAGTGCGAAAACAAATCAACCAGTGGATCATCGGCAATAAGGTCAAGGTCGATTGGAACTCCACTAGTCTGCCGTCCAGCCAGCAGTTGACGGTAGAACTGATGGGATACCAGGTATTATTAATAGAAATAAACACTTGAAATAAAAACAAAAACCGATAAACACAAAACCTAAAAATAAAATGAAAATGAAAATTTCAATCACTTTGCAAAAACGTATTGATATCCTTACATGTCCTTTCCCAGTCTTTAGGACGGGTCTAACATTAAACGTATTGATATCCTTACAGGTCCTTTCCCAGTCTATAGGACGGGTCTGACATTAAACGTTTTGATATCCTTACATCCTTACACGCGCATGTCTTTTTTTGTCCAAAACTACAAGGTTATAACCTTATGAAAAGAGTTTTTATGTCGCAAACGGGATCCAATTTGTATTAAACTTATATTTCTGTGTACCTCTTATATTTTCATCAATCAATTTAACATTCACTAATTTTAAAGTTAGTTCAAATTGCCATTCACGAAAGATATTTTACAATTGTTCCCTTCAGGAAAATGTATGCAGGCAGGGTTGTGTGGATACATGTAGTTACATCCGATAATTTATTTTCCAGTATAACAATGGTGACCCGAACTTTACTGCTGTAAAACCGTTGGATATCGATGAAACATTAGACTCATTTATATTACCGGCTTCGCTGACGTCATTCCAGGCCGCCGCTGTCCGTGTACGGGAGAAATATCCTGCTCCAGGGAGGTAGGTGTACTGCAAGTATATTGGTAATATTGTCATAATGCAATCTACTTAACTGATGTTAGTGAGAATAGTTTAACAACACTGATTTGTGGTAACAATTATTAAGTAAATATTTTATCTTCGTAAGATTTACTGTTGACGACATTTTGATTATTCATATATACCCGGGGTGGTCGGGTGGTGCAGTAGATAGCGCTCTTGCCTTTCACGAAGGCGGCCGCGGTTCGTTCCCAGATCGGAAGTGAACATTTATTTTCCAATATTGCCATTTCTACTGTATCTACCTGATTTGTATTGTTTCAGTGTACCGGTAGCTGTGTGGTCCAATTCGTTGCTATATCTGTACCTGATTTGTATTGATTCAGTGTACCGGTAGCTGTGTGGTCCGATACGTTGCTGTATCTGTTCCTGTTTTGCATTGATTCAGTGTACCGGTAGCTGTGTGGTCCGATACGTTGCTGTATCTGTACCTGATTTGTATTATTTCAGTGTACCGGTAGCTGTGTGGTCCGATTCGTTGCTGTATCTGTATCTGATTTGTATTGTTTCAGTGTACCAGTAGCTGTGTGGTCCGATTCGTTGCTGTATCTGGACCTGATTTGCATTGTTTCAGTGTACCGGTAGCTGTGTGGTCCGATTCGTTGCTGTATCTGTACCTGATTTGCATTGTTTCAGTGTACCGGTAGCTGTGTGGTCCGATGTGTTTCCGGTCAGAGTCGGTGCCAACTGGTCCTCTTTAATGTGTGCTACCTGGAACGCTACGGACAACCTCCTGCCCAGTATTAGTAGCAGCAATTTATCGTGTCCGTGCATTGCCAGGCAGGCGTTACGTGACACAGGGAGGTTCACATTTGACCCTTTCTGTAGTTCAGACAATTCTAACAGATCAACCAATTGTGTTTACAAACCTGGTGCTGTTCAGTGCTTTTTACGTATTCAGAAAAGGTAAGCTTACAATAGACTTTTTTATGGGTTTTTTTCAGAAACGTTATGATCTCAAAAGATATTGATGACATCGATTTGCAAAGCAGGGTCCTTCCCTGTAGACTTTTAATGCCATATAAATACTGTTTAATAGAATTGATACATCCATGACAAGGTCACTAGGTTAAAATAGGAATCATTGCCTCACGTGCATTGAATTGGATGCCTCGTCTTGGAAAATGTAACCCCAGGGCTTTGGGTCCCTGTACCCGGATATTGTCTTTTTTATCGACATTTTGGTCCAGTTTCGTTGTGTTGTCTTAACGACTCGATATTTTCTGTTTAACTCATATGCTCCCTACATATTCTTCAAAATACATTATGTGTTTGTTTTAAGTTAAATAATGGTATAGGCATTGGAACAGTAACGTTGTTACTGTTAGGGGGTTAAAAATATAAACGGCAGAGTTTTGATGTATGTGTACGTCTGAAATAGCTGTTACCGATATATATGACATTGCTTAAAACATTTACTTTTTGCAATGCTTAATTAAGACCACATATATCGTTTGACGGGAGATAACTCGCAAATGTATGTTTTACAAGTTTCTAAAACATCGAGCGGAATATTATTCGGTGTTATTCTTGTGTCATCTAGAAATCATGTACACGTTAGGAGAGACGGAAAGGTATAAGATATCGTGACACACGATCTTAGAGTAAACATACGAGGTGTGTAGCCCAGCGCCATTTTGAGATGTAGGAACACAATTACTCGATCACAGGCCATCCTCGGTAGTTCGGGGGTTACGCTCACGTTTGCGTAATCGAGGATGCCATGGAATATGTCATAGCAAAATTAAAGGAGACGAGAAGACTAGTTCGATCACATGATGTTCATCAAAAGCATCCTGCGGTCACGTAACAGTAAACATTGACAGGCTTTGAAGTCGGGTGATGCTCCTTTGTAATTTTCAAAGAACAAGTATCAGCCCAGCTATTGATAAGTTTTTTTTTACCTTGATCCAATTTTTCTATGATATCTGAAAAATGCATCCCAGCCGGTGACGCCACCTAGTTCATCATATTACATAGGGTTTTCCCCAGCGAATCTCAATCGACTTTAACTTGGTCTTTTTATTACGTTTTTTTTCAGTGAATCAAGTACCGGTGCTTCGTGCTGCTATGATGAAAGTGGTGATTTGATTGACATTCGCGACAGTAATGGAGGTGGGAGTTCTTTACGTTATACTATTCGATCTCAGGGACACGACGCAGTGCCTTTCTTTTCTTTCTTTGAAGAGGAACTTCTTTCTTCCTTACATTGCTGTCAGTATTCTAATGCTGTTGACATGTGCCAATTGTTTAAGGAGAAACGCCCACCCGTCACGTGTGATCAATATGATCCTCCCACTGCAGGTTTGTGTACTTATTCAACATCAAAGAGGTCACGTACATGTTGAAATAGCAAATTGTTACTTTTTGATATGATGTCAGAGTTATGTATTCTTAATTCTTGTCAAATATCGCTTTGTTAAGTCATTGTCCTTGTATTAACGGTTGTTTGTTTTATTGAAGCCCAAGCGGTAGGTGATCCACATCTGACGACACTGGACGGACAAGACTTCACATTCAATGGCTTAGGTGATTTCATTTTAGTAGAAGACGACGCTTCCAGTGTAGTAGTTGAAGTCCGTACAGCGCAGGCGCAGGATACGGAGGGTGAGTATACTTTAATGAATCTAAAAAGGCTGAAATCCGGTAAAATAACCATAACTAATGGTAAAATAACCATTACTAGCAGTAAAATAACCATTGGCATTGCTAGCGCCAAATAATTTGTTTATGTGATGATATTGTAACATTTGTGTTCCCATTCCAGGTCACTACCAGAACGCAAGTATTTTTTCGGGCGTTGCCATGACGACAAAGGGAGTGTCTGACGTAATTGAGGTGCATCGTGACACCAATACTGTGTCACAGATCCTGGTCAACGGCCTTGTTGTCACTAACGACTTATCTACCTCGGTTACACAGTTTAAAGGTCAGTACCAAATACACAGTAGTAATGGATACACATTCTACTACAGTGAGGACGGTCTCTCCGTATTACTAGTTTATTTTCTTAGAAACTACTTTTACTTATAACCTGAAAAGCTCATTCTACATTGTATTTCATTAATCATATACTTCTGAATGGTAGACATGCTGTTGTGTATATTTTACGCATTTTTTGTCATATTTTACAAATGTGTTCACTATTGGCCTTTATGATTGGAAGGGTATTTCTCCCATACTTGACCCTGAAAGGCGCTATGACGTCATGACGTCGGCGTTTGAAATAGTTCCGTTGTTTTGACTGTTAAATTTTCATTAATTTTGTACTTATTATAAGATATATTAACTGATATATTGTAGTTGTTTGATTGTTAGCTCACCTGGCACGAAGTGCCAAGTGAGCGTATGCCGTGGTGCGGCGTCCGTCGTCCGTCCGTCCGTCGTCCGTCCGTCGTCCGTCGTCCGGCGTCAATATTTTACTTTAAACGACTTCTTCTTAATAACCGAAAGGCCTAGGGTGATGATATTTGGCCAGAAGCAAACTGGGATGAAGGGCTACCAAGTTTGTTCAAATAAATGACCTTCATCTATTTTCAAGGTCACAGGGGTCAAATATGTTAAAAACTTTAAACAACTTCTTCTCAATAACCAAA